CAGGCTGGGGGATGAAGGGATGGAGAGCAGCCCTGCCGAGAAGGACTTGGGGGTACTGCTGGATGAAAAGCTGGACGTGAGCCAGTGATGTGCGCTCACAGCCCAGAAGGCCAATCGTATCCTGGGCTGCATCCCAAGCAGCGTGGCCAGCAGGTCAAGGGAGGTGATTCTGCCCCTCTGCTCTGCTCTGCTGAGACCCCACCTGGAGCACTGCACGCAGCTCTGGAGCCCTCAGCATAAGAAAGACACGGACCTGTTGGAGCGGGTCCAGAAGAGGGCCAGGAAAATGATATGGGGATGGAACACCTCTCCTGTGAAGAAAGGCTGAGAGAGTTGGGGTTGTTCAGCCTAAAGAAGAGAAGGCTTTGGGAAGACCTTCTTGCAGCCTATCAGTACTTAAAGGGGGCTTATAAAAAAGATGGGGACAAACTTCTCAGCAGGGCCTGTTGTGACAGGACAAGGGGGAATGGCTTTAAACTAAAGGGGGGGTGGATTTAGACTAGATAGAAGGAAGACATTTTTTATGCTGAGGGTGGTGAAGCACTGGCACAGGTTGCCCAGAGAGGTGGTGGATGCCCCATCCCTGGAAACCTTCAAGGTCAGGCTGGATGGGGCTCTGAGCAACCTGATCTAGTTGAAGATGCCCCTGCCCACGGCAGGGGGGTTGGACTAGATGACCTTTAGAGGTCCCTTCCAACCCAAGGTATTCTATGCTTCTATGTTACCCACCTTCTTTTTTTCCCCATTAGGGACATTACAACGTAGATTATAAAAATCTCATAAGAAAGGCAAGATGATCGTGATGTAGTTTTGAGAGCTGGCCACCAAGAAAAATAGCTTGCTCCTGGAGCAAGTTCAGAGACCTCAGTAAAAAGCTATTTCAATTTGCCATACATGTCTTCACAGCCACTGTTACTCTGAAAAATGCAGCTGACCTGAGACTCACAAATAATTCGAGTGATGCTCGTTCACCAGTCGGCACGCATTTTCTCTGGAAGAGAAAGCAAGAGCCACTGTCTTTCCCCAGGACAAATTGCTGAAGCAGAGATGTCAGCCTGCGTGCAAGGCACTGCTCCCCGCTCACTCACACAGCGGCTCGGTAGTGCTGCAACTGCTCTTCCCGATGACGACAGCTGCAGCCTGGCAGGCTTCGGAGACAGGGAGCAAAAGACTAGGAGATGAAACAGTGTGCTAGGAGCATGGCTTTCAGTACATGGAAGATTTTGCAAGTGTTTTATGATTTGACTGATAACCTGCATTATACCGAAGGTCCCCTCTGGTTTATGAGCTACATACCTGTGAAAAACAAGCTACAACGCTGACTATTCTTTAGCATGCTTTTTACTCAAGTTGTTTCTCATCTAGCAGGTAAATATTTGTTCCTATGGGTCAAGATGCCAAAAACGTGTAAAGCTGACGTCCAGACTAGGCAATGTTTAAAATTGTCACCTTCCACCACTGCCAAGCCGTTAACTTTACAAGCCTGAAAGAATCCCCTCAGAAATAACATTTGCATGGAAGGGCATTCTCTATTATTTTGAAGTATACATGGATATGCAATTCTGATATTAATCTGAACAACATCCTAGGCATGTTTCTACGAATGGAGCAGTTGCATAGCTTATCTGAAATCGCAGCATCTGTGTCGCGGTCAGGAATAAGAGCTAGTTCTCTGTCTCCCAAACCTAGTCTTGTGCACCAGACTGTACTTATTCAAATGCTCTAGTTTAATGAATGTAAGTAAAATAACTCCTGTATTAAACCACTGTGGGGGGACACTAGTCCTGATTTCATTATACATTCTTCTGTTCCCCAAACTTTATTGCTTGTTATTTTTATCTTTTATTACTGCAGTAGCAGTCATGAATATCACCCCGTTATGACAAGTGCTGCTCAGAACAGAGAAGAAAAAGTTCCCGCCTTTAGAGTTTACACCTCCATTAAAATTACACAAATTTGCAATATGGGACCTCACTCAGAAGTAGGTAATTAACTTCTGACTAGAAAGATATTTGAAATGAGTAGGACTTTACGCCTTTCAGGTAAGAGATTATCCTCAATTTGTTTTACAAGTGTCTGCGCAATGACTAAATAATGTTATAAATTACTATGCCCTTCTCTTCTTGTAAATAACTGGTACTCAGTACTGCTGTCTCATAGTTCAAGGGAAAAACAGCAATTTCTTTCAGAAATAAAAAAAAGCTCAGTGATATAGTTTAACAAAACTATTAATAAAACCTTTCAAATTGTTTTGCAACAACAGTTCATCATAAAACAGCGGTCTAATTTAGCACCAACGCCGCTCCTTCTGAAGTGAAATTACTTACCATTTATAGGTACAGGAATAGGCCCTACATTTGAAGCAGAAGCTACAATATGGAGCAACAGCTGAGACATTCTGCTTTTACCTACCAGCACTCATTACGTATTCTCTGAAGAAGGGACAGCTGAACCAGATGGGCATGATATGAAGATATGGAGTAAGCCCAGGAAATAAATTTTTGAAACTTGGACCGGTGCAAAAGTTTCCGAAGGCTCCAGCTACCAGGACCCCATGAGGGTGAAAGCCAAGTAAGTAGTTGTGATTTGGATTCAGATCAGAAGTTTTTATAAGCTGAAAAATAGAGACAGTGGAGGACATTATAATACTTACCTCAGAAAGATTCTCAAAAACAACAAGTATGGAGATTGCACATTGACAGGACACAGAACCGATGACAATTCATTTCTTTCTGAGCACTTTAAACTACTGTCCCGTTACACAGCTGAACAAAGTTCAAACAGATGTGTCTCAAGATATCATGTCTAGCATTTACTGTGCTGAGGCACTATCTTGTGACCCAACAGTCCAAGTAGAAAATCAGCCCCTGCTCCTTTTTGTCGCTAGATCTCAGACTTCCCATGTTTTAAAAAGAAGTTAAGGTCACCCTGGAGTAAGTACTAGAATTTCACCAAAGATGAGTCTTAGACATTTGTCCACGCTCATGGCTATTCAAGCTGTCTCTGTTCCAATGTTTACAGTTCTGTGAGAAACATTTTACTCACGTGAATGGGGAAGTATTCCCTAAAGTACTTCCAAACAGTCCAGCTTCTGACCCACTGGGACCGTCTGCCCCCTGTGCATGGCGTTTCCCAGTCGAGGTACAGCCACAGCAGGTACAGAACCGCGAGGAACCAGAAGTTGCCTAGGATCAGGATCACAAAGAATCCACAGCAAAACTCTGCTACAAGAGACAAAAAAGGAAACCGTAACAAGCATTAATCGCACCTGTCTCCTTTTAAGACCTCGAATTCCCAGCCCTGATATTTTTATTACGGATGCTACTCAAAACACGTGCAAATTGAAGTTAGCTTATTCCACATCGTGTGAATGTTGTTACACTGGGGTGAAACACCTGCAAGCATGCATCACCTCAGTCTGTATTTCTTATCTACCACACAACCGGACGAATAAGCCTAAGATCATGCTGGTTTACTTTAATAAAACAAAAGCATAAGTGGAGAACCAACACACTTGTCTTCTCCTCGTGATAAGGGTGAACACTAATGTTTGGTAAAGAGCATTTGGGTTACCTAAGGCAGAATAAAAGGAGACCGCAAGAGCTAACAAAGATGTGATGCTCCAGTGAGCGAGAAGAAGGGAGGAGGGCTAGGGAAGGAAAGAGGGGAAAGGGGGCCACAGCAAGATCTCTTTTCTGATGGGAGTGATGTCAGGCAATCATTTTCTTAATTTCTTTACCTATAGAATAGGGATGGTAGTTCTCCTCCCTGTGAAAAGTGCTCTGTAACTGGCCAAGGAGATGCACTAGACAAGACCAAAACATTAAGAGGTTCCATTTCAGCCTCTAAACATGTCACTGTCAGTGGAAACTCACCATTGCTATGGGAACACAACAGCAGTTTCAAGTCCCGATACTTTCAGACGCAGGTTAATAAGAATTGTTAACATCCTACCACAATAACAACACATAGGAAGTGTATTATACACAATTCAAAAAGCCAGAAAAAGTTGTTTGATTAAACAGAACGCGTTACTTTGGGGCTCAACTCTGAAATAATTATTCAGGGCAACTCCTTATGGAAATACTACCTTTGTAGGACTTGCAGAATTTTGCACTCTTGCAGTGACTCAAGCAGCTACGGACAGAGTCGGCTGAAGCACAGTACAGCAGTACCTGCTGCTCTCTGCCCCGTAGTACAGCCTGCAGCAGCCTGCTCGCTCTGACGTCTTGTGAACAAAACGCATCAGGGTAATTCAGCAGATGCTAAATTCCAGGTTTGCAAGGGAGCCGGGGCTTTAGCATCATGTATTTACACAGTGGCAAGCAGAAGAGGACCCAGTCCTCACTGGAAGTCTCAACAGGCAGAGTTGTATGAAACAGGCGTTTTTCTGTGATATTTTACGAAGCAGAAGTAGTATTTTGTTTGTCCCACAATTGACTGGCTTTCCTGAGGGCAATATCCTGTTATGTCCTAAAAGGAGTTACACCAGTGAAATGTACTGAACTAAATACGTAAGTAGAGCGGAGTAAAAAATTAACAGAAGTACATCAGGCAGTAATTTGGCTAACACAGTGTAAATATTACCAGAACTGAAAACTTTCACATAAGCAGATGGCCCAACAGTAAAAACCACTCATCCTTACTAAGATCAGCTTCATTCAAAGAGATTACTCGGGCATTGAAAACTGACAGCAGATTCCCTATACCAAGCAGGTTTCAAGCTGCTGAAATTCAGAGCTTAACTTGGCCTACGGGCACTCTTGTGTTTCCTCCAGCCTGAACACTTATTTTTTCTGAATTTCTGCCAACTTGCCCTTGTGCCTAGTTTGACTGTGCCTTCAGAGTAGAAATGGATATATTGTCACGGGATAACTGAGAACTACTGCAGAATCCAGCAGCAGACAGAACAAGCAAAGCTGCCGGTTAGATTGAGTGGGAAAGAAAAGGATAAACATTCCCATTTCTGGCAGGGAATGAGCAGAAAAATAAGGAATTGCATTTGCTCTGAGGAAGGGAGAAGGGAACAACCATAAACAAAACCAGAAGCAGGATCAAATCTACTCTTTCGAAGGATACTCCATTCTTCAGTACCATCAGTACAGAAGCTCATTGCTTCCTGCTTGAACAGGCAACGCTGGTCTTGCACAGAGAAGCACTTCAGTAAGAGCTCTAGAAAAATACCACAGCTAACTGAGGCCCACGGAACTCCAAAGCTGATGTGGAAAACTCCCGAAAGCTGCAACAACGAGTTCTAGAGAACATCGTTAATGCAGGATGAGTAACACAGGTGAAAGACGACACTCAATTCCACTGCTCTGGAGGGAGAACTCACCAGGAATCCCACACCAGCAACACTTCAAAATAGGGCACAGAAATATTTTGAGGGAAAGTCATTACCTGTTCTTTGAAGAAGAGATCCTGAAACTACAGAAATTTCTAGGAATGCTAATCTGTACAGGATGCCAAGGTTCACGGTCTAAGTTTGAATTAGTACGAGAAGTTTTTTTAATTGCCATAAATCAATTAATTTCAAGTTGTTATGCAAAAATTGGTATGTATTTATATTTCCTATCCTTCCTTTCAGAAGGACTTTTGGCTCAGTGCAGAATCACATGACTTTTTTACTATCAGTTTCCTAGCCAAATAGCTGAAAGGTGCTTTGGATCGAAGCAACCTTGCTGTGAGAGCTAATTAAATCAGCAGTGGTAAGTGCCAGATAGCACTATTTAATACTATGTAGGCAAACATACACAAAGATCAACAAGCTCACTGCTTTGCTTTAGCTAGAACACGTTCCTGCATGCATGTAAGGTATGGGGAGATAAGTACGCTGTCAGCACTTCCTAAGGGGAGCTCAGCATCTCGTAGGACAAATTCGCAATGAGACACGCAAAGCAAATTCCTTTTACCATAGCTCCTTATTATTTCAATGCATTAACAGCCTGCAAGATGAGTTAAACACCGGTGACTCAAAACCAACCAACACAAAACCAGTGTTTTCTCCTTCAGAGAAGACACTGCGTAAATAAATGGCAACCATTTTGCCTAAATTCATAAACAAATTCCAGGCAAAAGGTGAGTAACTTGGAAATCAGCACTTTACTATATCATTGCCTCCTTGGATGTAGTTCCAGTGTACACTGTAAGCGTAATTTTTTGCTTAAACTTGAATTAAAGTTTTGAAAATATGTCTGTGGTGTATTGGAACAGTGGGGGAAAAGGGGAAACAATATGGATCAAAAGACAAATCACTGCCATGGGACTCTGAACATTCGGTTTGCCAGCCAACATTGGCGAGACTTTACATCCCTTTTCCTCCATTTACAACATGTGGATATTCATCAGCTGCAGGAAAAGGATGAAAAATATTATATACAGTGTTAGCTAGCAGCACTGGCAGCCGTCCTGCCCAATGATGTTTGACCACCTGATGCTTCACTCATTAAATAGGCTCTACGTTTGCAGCTGTGGGCTCCAAATTCATAAAATAGTTAAATACCACAGAGATAGGAAGTAGGAAACCAGCACATTGGGTGGGGAAATACAGGTGATCCAGGCAACTGGAAGCTCTGAATGCATTTGCAGTTACTAAGGAGTCAAAAATGTTTGAGTAATATCTATTGTGAGGGCCACCAAACTTAAGACTGTCCACTAGAAGAAAAGCCTCCCATTACTCTCAGAGCAGTCACAGACCATGTCGGCCAGTGCAGGCATATCCTAGGTGGCCAGGGCGCTCGTCTCAATCCAAACAGCACTACAGGCCCTCCGCAGTACCCCAACAAAGCCACGCAAAGCAGCTCGCACCGAGACCTCCGGACTGCTCGACCAACTCGGACAGCTCTGAACTATGAGCCAGTTCCTGCTGTTTCCCACATGCCCTTAGCAAAGCTTTCTCTAAACACATTGTGCTGCTGTATCTTATATGGGCTGGAGACTTTCACAGTTCAGTGATTTGAACCTCATCCCACAAAGGACGTGATAAACAGGACATCTTTATCCCACTGGCATTCTACTGAATACACAGGTAGAGATGTGATTTTTAATATTGTACTTCTCCGGGCTTTATGAGTACATGTGCATACCAATACACAAAGCAAGGTGAAAAGCTCATTTCTTACATCTACGGCCACGGGGGGGGGGAATAAAAGATGGCATATTCTTCAACAACCACGTTGATGTACCTACAGCAGAACAGTCCTTTCCTCATTGTCAGCCTTCAGAGCAGCAATGCCTCTGAAGCTGGGTGCCTGAGGAACAGAACATTGGAGGGAACACACAAGGAAAATTATACAGTGATGTTTTCATTCCTAACGAACATTTGCTCCTCTCTATTATCCCTCAAGGTACCACTGATAAATTGATTTTGGCATTAAAAAAAAAAAATTATTTTCCCTGCTTAATGGATTCTTTTATTAGGGGAAAAGAAAAACAAAAATTTAAAATCAGCCTTAATTTCTGGAAATACTTTCTAAATTATTTATAAATCGTACACAAAGGGATAGAAATTTAAATGAAATAACACATACAGCAAATAGACTCCAGCAGTCCCACCAAAGGAAGACCTGAGACAACAGGTCTGAGAGGCAACACCTGAGAGGAGGCAACCTGCCAAGGCAACAGTAAGCAAGTTCATGCCTCTGCAGAGTACTGTTCTGCAGCTTTTACACAGAAAGTTTCTTTTTAAAAATGCAGTCATAATGTTAGTACTATCCTGTTTAGAGCCTACTAGTCTGTGCAATTCTGTCAATATACAGATTTTCAGCAGAAGCACAGGAACTTGCTGCTACTTTTTACCCATGGGAGATATGGACTCCCCAGCAAAGAACACGCTGGGAATTTATTTAAACTAACTGCACTGGAAAATTGTTGAAGTCCACAGGAATTTGGCAGCCATCTCCAGGACTGAGGTGGTAAGGAGGTCAGCATTTGTTGAATACGTATCAGTCTCCTGTAGTGGAGGTGCTTTGTCAGTTTATTGGTCACAACTGGTAGCCCCGGTCAGAAGGATATGTGAGCATTCCTACCAACGGAGCTCTATTTCAACACTACTATGATAACAAATACAAACCCTCAGATGCCAAGGTTTGGAGGCTTGTTTACTCTGGTATTTGGTTCCAGTTCCCAAGCAAGCAGACCTTCCATTGGCAAATACTGATAAACGAGAGATACGGAGCATTAGGCACTATTGACTTGTAGATAGAGTGGTCTGGATACAGTAAAT